TTTCAACCTCTTTAATTTCTGCAGTGACAGTATAATACATTTGACATTCCCAATAACACTGATACACCGTTGATATACGTCACCACCACTAGCACACGGATCCCGCTAAACAAACCATTGATTTGTGAAGAGAAAATGTGTTATGCGGTGATGTCACATATGCGACGTGTAGTCTTTCTCGTTATGTCTATTGCACAACGGCTAGCCAAAGCATCATACAATATACTGTCAAACTCGTTACATGAGAAATTATATAAAAAAATTCACAGACAACATATGTTCACATTCATGGCCCAATTCAAATGGGATCAGAAAATAATTCCCTTCTCTCATTCACTTGCATTGACGCTTTTTCAACCTAGAGGTCCACTCGGATGGGCGGGACTTACCAGCTCTATTGTCCCAAATCAGTAGGGATGCACGATATATCGGCCAGCATATCGGTATCGGCCGATATATGTTCATTTTTAATGTTATCGTTATCGGCCTGGTAAGAAAATGTGGCCGATATAATAAAGCCGACAAATAATGTATTATTCCCTTCAGCTGAGACACTTTTTTAAGCACTTTTTATGTTTTTGATTTTCTTGAAATATTATTCTTGAAATATTATTATTTAAATATTATCTTTAAAAAAAATGAAAACATGGTTCAGTACAACATGTGCAGCGCAAATCTGTCATATCGTCTATACAACGCTACAATGAGAACATTATAATCGTGCGCTTGGGACATGGATTTAATTGTGAGACTTTTGTTTTTGTAATCAGGCTCTCAAAATTAGATAAAAAATTGGATTTAAATTTATCGGCAGATATATCGGTTATCGGCTTTCAAATCTAAAGAAGTATCGATTATCGGTATCGGCCAAAATTTTCATATCGGTGCATCCCTACAAATCAGGTAGGTGCCGAAAGTCACACCTGTAATTTATTGGGTATCTTGGTGGGATCTTTTCCCCATAAATTACACAAAAAAAAAGGCAGGCCTCCCTGAATCATGCCGGCTCAGCTCAAATCTGGACCATTACCCAGAGATTCAACACATTCAGCATTGCTAAGAGACTATGGAACAGAGCCAGTGGGTTTTACTAGGACACATCTCGCAAAGTGTTGTCAGGGCAATCCCGCTCAGGATAAGTACTCTTATCGTCCATTTTCTCACCGCGTGATTGGAATTTCATATTTCTGTCCTTCACATACAAATGGAAATATTGCACGTCCAAACACATTCGCATCTCGCCGCTCATAACGGCGAGCCAGGAGTCACCCAGCCTGCAAATTGCCCATGGAAAATTCTTGTTTGCTTGACTATTATGCATGCCACATCCTATTCAGACCTTTGTGTTGGCGGTGTCCCCTGCATGCACAATTTCAGCCACGGGACTATGACATTTCCAAAAACCCGTCTGCGATCGGTCACGGCACGCACAATCCCTGAAATATTTTCATCAGGCGAAGCGTCTCCCAGCATCTACATTCAGAGACATTATCCTGTCCTTGATGTTTTATCATTAGTTGGGAAGTGTTTGGGCCCCTACTGAGATCTTTTGATGGAGCACAGACAATAAAGTGATGGAGACAGCCAGCCAATTTTGCCTGCTGCGACTCTGCCCCAGCAAGGCGCCTGAGTATCTGTGTTAAAAAGTGGAATGATAGTCACATTGCACAGCCACAGTACAATAGCTCGGACGCATTTGCCAGCGGCCTATTATTCCGCTGATTGTGCGAAGGCTGTATCCAATATGACTGTGTGTTTATTAATAAATGATTCTCGTAATGTCATTTTCTCTTTCTCCCGTTTCACTCGGCGCATGATAGGAAATCTGTCTGAAAGATTTGAATCACGTCGAGCGCTTTTAGTGGGGTGTAGAACACCGCGCTTAAATCCTTCTTTTCAGATGCAAACTTTAGAACTGACCATCCAGGCTGCAAAGAATGAAATCTGATCCGTTTGTTTGGGCTGTGCAAGTAAATATCTGTCATGTCTACATCAGTTGCTGCAGCAATGATGTAAGCGTCAGCAAGATGCCATTAGACTTTCTCATAGAACATCTGAGAGCATCTGTCAGCGTGGAAAGAGAGGATGAAAAACTGGAAATGTTGCCTCTGCTCACGTTCATCACGTTACCTCACCGCATTGCTCAAATCACGAGGCACATTCATGCAAAAACTGCATCCAAACATTCGCTCATTCATTGCACTGTGTGTTCGGACAACATTGCGCATACGCGTTGTGAATGGCGGAAAATGACGATCAAACAAAACAAAACAAAAAAGTCTGATTTTAATCGGATTTGATGTGGTTGGGATCACTTTGTAAACACCGGATTTCGTGAGGATTTTTTCTTTCTTTCCACTGTTCTGTCTACACACAAAACAACTAAACGGATTGGAGTCATATATGCCAAAACATCGGATTTTTGCTGCCTGTCTGAACAAAGCCTTTGGCAAAGTGTGTTTTGTTTAATCACACGGATTGTGTTGGCCAGTGTCATGCCCATTTTATGCAGTATCATTGCTTCAACATCTAATTCTATATTACTTAAGCAATCCTATTATATTGGAACATGGAGTAAGCCCATCATTTCAATTCTTTATATTTTTCTTAGCTATAGCTAGCCAAATTGCCTTCAGCTATTTCAATAACAGTGTTTTGTAGGACAGTGCTCCACCGTCAAGACATGCAATTTCATGTCAAATCAAAATGACAGGCCATTTCTGTTTCAAATCAAGGACATTTATGAGCTATTGTCTCTCTTAGGCCCCCTCATCCGGATAGTATCTGGATGCTCTTTATTGGTCTGCGTTTACACCTTGCAGCCATGTGATGTTACACTCATTGAATATACGGTTGTATCGCCATTATTTCAATGAATTTCAAATGTGATCAGTGCTTTAAACATGTTCCATCATTTACCAAATTTTAAAGACACTTATGGATAGTTTAAAACATTTTGACATGGTTCAAAAAGTAAAAATCCTGGTCTTCTTCTAGGGGAATTTCTTTTTATAACGAATAAAAATATACACTGATTTTTTAAGGAATTAATAATTATGCAATTATGCTCTGAAGACTGGAGTAACTGAAAATTCAGCTTTGCCATCACAGGAATAAATTACATTTAAAAAAGAATTTTTTAGAATATTTTAAATTGTAATAATATGTCGCAGTAGTACTGCTTTTAGTGTATTTTTGATCAAATAAATGCAGCCTCGTTTTTACCATGTGATCAAAAACATTAAAAACGCTTACTGACCCCAAACATTTGAATTTGTATATACAGTACTGTTTAATTTTTAATTAAATTACATCATTTATAATGTTTCGTGGGATTGTAGTTCATTCCCTAATTAAAGCCATTAAGTACACAATCTTGTGCCTTTCCATTTTCAAACACATTTTTTCCCCCCAAAATTAGCTTCAAGTTTATAATGTGGTGATTCATCTCGAAGCTGGTTAGTTTTGTTCACGTCTTTGAAGTCTATGATGAAGATTTAAAAAAGAAATCCCCATAGGGGGGAAAATGAATGGGAAAAAATATTTCCGGAACTAAGATGGCTTAATAAGTGGGCAGGCACTGTTGGTCTCTATTGCATTTCTCCACTTTAGAAACATTCCCACAGCCAAAGGATGCTAATAAGGCTTAGAAGTGAGGAAAATGGGAGACAATAAAGTTTTCAATTGCCCCTGCTAGGATTTGAACAGGATATTGTTCATTAAATTGAGCCGACCTTTAGACCTGATAAAAAAAAAAACAGCATGGTGGAAAATGATGCAAATCATTCAATGAAAATGACAGATATTCTGTTTTATGTAGACTACAGTTTAGATAGATGGAAATATAGCTTAAAGTACCTTGGAACGCGCAGCTTTATTTGTTTGTTCCCTTTTTCAAATAACCAATAGCGTTTAGTTCACCTCACAGATTGCAAGTCGTACTTGACAGCACCATGGAAGTGAATCCGAGCACTGATGCTGCATTAGATTCTACACTCTTGAAGAAAAGGTTCTATCAGCGCTACATATTTGGAACCCCTAAAAGGTTCTATACAGAACCCGTTTTAAGGATTGAATAATAAGAACCCTTTAGGGATCTTTGTAACCAGAAAAAATGTTCCATATGGAACCTTTTGGGTTCATTCATTATCATTTGTTTTGTCCTTTCTGGATTAAATATTTCATATTATGGACAAACATCAAGACCCTAAAATGTATTTATGAATGCCAGGGAATGATCACAAAATTTAAGATATGGGGGTTAGAAAATGTATATATTTATATTATTTTATGTAGTTAATCAATATCACACGAAGATTTCAGTTTTTCTCCCCCAAAAATCAGCATTATTAAAAGTTACTACAACAGTTTAATAAACAATAATTTAATTACAACTACAAAATGTTGCAGTATAATGAAATATATGAATGAATAATAGCCTATAAATAACTTTTGTGCCAAAAGGGTTCTTTCTTGTCATTATAGAAACTTTTTTTAGCATAAAAGGCTCTTTAGAGTTGAGTAAAGAACCCTATGCTTCATATATAGAACCCCAATGAACCTTTTTTTGAAAGAGTATAGAGAGCATTTGATTGGACAGAAGATGTGATGAGAAACTGAAGTCTGCGGTGATGTCATAAAAATCGGTCATCCATTTTAGCAGAAGTTAGAGACTGTACATTTCTCCGAAATGCAAGTTTTGGAACACACCAGCTAATTCATAACCTTAAGGCTAACATATTCATTTAAAAGTTAAAAAAACTAAAATTTTGATTTCAGGGGGCCTTTAAGTTAAGATTTGTTTCAATGAAATAGTATCCGATTGAGATTAAACCAACAACGTTGTCAATCCCATGTGTAAAGGGGGTCTTGGTAAAGAGATGTTTGTCTTTCTTTCAGATATCACTATCATACTAACATGCAGTCTTTCCATGGATGCTTTTGTGACTTCTCTCTTTCATTTAATACCTCTTATGTGTGTTTTCATTTTCTCCATCTAGATGTTCTCACCACAACCCCCCCACCCACCACTACCACCATCAACGCTTTCCAAGGTACAGTATCCCATCTGAGCTGCGGGGTTCTCACTCCATCTCACCCTGTCCTGCTGTGCGTGTGCATTCACGTGTACAGTGTGTGTGTGAGAGAGTCTAAGTACGCTGCTGATGCATGTTCCTATCCGTGAGCTATAAAAGACAGCGGGAAGAGGGTAAAGTGCAGGGGCTCGTGCGGAGGTGGGTGAGTCGCCCTAATAAGATCTCGACGCAGATAGTGGACTCGGTGGCCTTGCGGTGCCTCGCCGGCGTTGTCACTTGTCAGGTTGTGCTTGTCAAATCCTTTTCTGTCACTCGCCTGGTCTTTTCAACGTAGAGATTCATTTTGGAACGGAAATCTTATCAGGATCTTGCCGTGTCCGTGCCTCAGATTACGATTACAAATGTACTCGGCCTTCCATAAGAATGACATCAACTCATCCTTGAAATGCTCTGATGGGATATTTCATGTTTTTTACTTCATAAATGTTGTTGTCAGTTGTCATTATACATTTTCCAATAGCGGTTTTGTTATCATCTTGATGAGATTTTCTTGAGCGCCTAAAATAATTGATGAGCCAATCAATGTTCATTAACATGCAAAGGGAAGCTCAGGAGTATAGAATAAACCACAGAAAATCCCAGCAAATATTTTCGCAGCAATGTCTAGAAGAACCACGTTGGGTTCTCCAAAGAAGCTTTCAGTGAACAGTTTCATGTTAGTTAAAGCTACACTGTGTGATTTTTACCCCCATCTAGTGGTGAAAAGGTATATGACCATCCAGTGGATATTAGTTTCTGTTCCTCTTAATTCCAATTTCGTTTTAACTCCTATGGCAGGGGCGGCTCGCCCATAGAGGGCGCTGGGGCGCCGCCCTCCCTCCGACCTGTACTGTCTGTTTTTTTTAATATATATTATAATTTATCATTTTGAAAAATAATCTGTGTTAATTATATGCTAATAATGGTTTTACTTTGAAAAGTGTTTTGAACTCACCAGAATGATATTTGCATTCACTTTCGTTACTTTTATCATGTTGGTGTAGTAGTATAGCCAATAGGCTGTCTTCTCAGGGCGCCAGTTCGCTCAGCCCCACAGTGCTGGAATTTAAGCCAATGGTTCCCCGGTTGCTATGCAAAAAAGTTTATATTTCGCCAATCAGCGCCGTCAAATTTTATGGTTTGGGGGCGCTGAAAATATCGCCCACAGTATCAGATTAGGGGAGTGCACCGTGCACGCGCACCACGGGACATTTTTTTTTTTTACCTCAGATGAGAGAAGAATGGCAGCGCCAGTGACGTCGAGTGGAAATAATGTAAAGTTAGTCGTGGGAATTGATCTGTCTGTCTCTGTCACTCACTCACTCACACACACATAAACACTGTTTCACACACATTTGATATTAAAATAGTTATAGGAATATTAATACCTGTGTGTTTGCTTTGTTTTTTGATGTTTTTAAGTTCTGAGCTACTGTGTTTCATACTAGTTAAAATCAACTTTCTTCTCATACTTGGGTGTTACGATCAAGAACGTTGTCCCACCCTCTTTTTCAGAGCCTTTTCTCTCTCTCTTTCTCTAGTATCAACACATTGTTATCCATTATACAATTGTCAATTTGTCAAAAATATGTAGTCTACAGCTGGGGATTGATTAAACTAGATTGTTGTATTACTTTTTTTTTTTTTTTTGTATTACCTATATTATAATTTATCAATATTATGCGTTTGCACTTTTTCTGTCAGCACACAGAGCATAATAAACATGCAACTTGTTCATTATCATTAACTGTCAAACTGTTATTATTATTATTGTATTATTTGACCATTGGTATTGACTGGTTTAAGTTATTTTATTGGTATAGGTAAGGGCATGGCCTGGCCTAAAATGCACCAGAATGCAGGAAATCACATCTACTAAATTCAAAATTTTATGGGGGGGAACCCCCAGACCCCCCTCTTATTCAGCCCCCCCGACAATAATTTTCACCAGCCGCCACTGTCCTATGGTGTAGTCCAAGATTAACATGGCTTCCAGTTCCCGACCTCGTCCATGAGTGTTAACTCAAACGTAAATGCGAAAGGCGAAGCTTGAATTAAGGGGTATGTCCCTCTTTGGCTAATGTACATTCAAGATGGAGGGGCAACATAGCGACCGACATTAGAACCCCTTACCCGTATGTATTTTCAATGGCATATTATACACTCACGAGAATACTTTATTACTTGAACGAAGTAAATATACATTAATGAGCACATATATTTTTGAAAGAACTAAGTGTTTTTAGCTAAGAATAAACTAAAAAAGTTACACAGTGTAGCTTTAAAAAATATATTGTGTGGAATGGAAAGGTTCCATGGATTTTTAACTGTTCTTGTTGGAACCATAGATGCCAATTAAGAATATTATAACTGCTATATAGAAATGTAATTTTGACAGTGAACACTTTTATATTGTTATGAAAGATTTTATTTCAAATAAATGCTGTTCTTTTGAACTTTCTATTCATCATATAACCCTGAAAAAATGTCCTATAAATATGAAGCAGCACAACCGTTTTCAACTTTGAGGAGCGAATCAACATATTATACACCCGTTCTCATCCCAAGTCATCATCTAACTGACGCTTTTGACCATGCGTCAACATCCAACGCACATGGCACCCTTTAGCGTCAATATGAGACGCAGATATATATGGGCCAGAAGGCGCCTCCTAGTGGTCTAACCCTACCCCAGACCTAAAACGGAAGTGTAAAAGTTGTACTTGTACCTGCTTTTGGGTACTTTTATTTGTACCACCTCTGGCGAGGTGATGTGAAAGCAATGCCGACTGCTGATTGGTCAGAGAATCGTCACCATTCACTGTGTCATCGTTACACACGCCAGATGGAGTATCCAGAATAACGCCGCCATGTTTAAATAGTTTGGCCAGAGATGGTTACTAAACTTTTACTATTATTACTATTATTTACTATTACTATTATATTATTATGGCAACTCGGAAGAATAGGCCGTGGTCAAACGAGGAGGTGCAGACTTTCCTTTGTTTGGTTGCCGAAGAGAGGATCCAGCGAGAGCTTGATGGGGCAATGAGGAACAAAAGGCGTCGCTATGACGACCGGGTACTATTTGTGTCGGTACTGTCTGCAATAGAAAACGGAGCGAAAAGCGAGCTGAGTCGAGTCAAGTCGAGCTGGTACTGGTAATGGAAAAGCGCTATAGAGGGTGCCGTGTGCGTCAGATTTAGACGCATGGTCAAAAGCGTCAGTTAGATGATGCCCAGAATGCGTTGTTATACATCATGTGACACTGAAGACTGGAGTAATGATGCTGAAAATTTAATTTTGCATCACAGGAATAAATTATATTCGAAAATATATTAAAATAGAAATCATTTATTTAAAATTGTAATAATATTCAACAATATTGCACTGTTTTTACTGTATTTTGGACAGTGGTTTATCATGTTTTTTTCCCCCTATCATTTGTCATTATCAATTTTCCAATAGCTGTTTTATTCTGATCTTAATGAGGTTTTCTTGAGCGCTTTAAAATACTTTATGAACCAATCCATGTTTATTAACATGCAAAGGAAATCTCGGGACTAGAAATCCCAGCAAATAAATCAATGGCAGGTAATTGGTGCTATATAGAAATGTAATACATTTTTGATGAGCTAGCAAAGAGTGAGAAAGGATAGGGTGCACTACTATCAAAAAAATCAATTAAGCCATAAAGTCTTGGTGAAACGCTTTAGGGGGTGACATTTAGAGATGATTGCCATTTATAACACAAAATAAATGGCTAAATGGAAGCACCGATAGTGGCACCTTCAACAGATGCTGCACTTTCTCCTCTTTTGTAAAATCATCATGCGCGGCGTGTGGAAGCGTGATAGAGTCGGCCTTTCAGAGGATTCATCTATGCTCAGGACTTCTCTGTGATCATCAGGCTGAACTAAGTCTTGTCTGGTTTTCTCTCGGAAGAGCCGTTGTCTTGTGTTTCTTCCCGGCCCTGACTTCTCCGCATGCAGAGTAAGCATGTAAGAATTTTTATTGGTGTAACCGTCTTAACCTCGGATTATCGTTCGAGCAGAACTTGCTTTCAAGTAGACACGACGGGTAATCCACTCACGTTGAGAACAGGAGAACTCGAGGGACCTGCTAGCCATTTGAAACAGTCACAGTGTTTTATCTGATACTCGCTCTGGTCTTTAGGGACGGCCACGGCTGACGGAACGTGACCCTGGGTCCTGCGCGTTTATGGGGTCTGGTATGGGCATGAGGGGTCGGGTCGGGGGGATTGGAGCTGCTGCGGATCAGAGATCAATATTGACAGGTGCATGTAAGTGGCACGCAGGCCAAAAAAGTGCAAATGGAACTACCCCTCGCAGCTTTGTGTTATCAGTACTGCGTATGTTATAAGCATCGTGTAGTTATGGTATCATTTACACTGCATAAATGCAGCATATGTTTACTCTGGTTTATTTTTGGGGCTTTTTGTAACTTTTGGAAGCTGGAAAGTGATGGAGCAGCCTGATCTTATAAAACATCTGTGTTTGCATATACAATAAAGACATTGGCAGAATCTTAAACACAAGTATTTGGAAATATAACACATCTTGTGCTTATATCATTTAATATATTTGTATAGTTGAAACGTGTGTTTAAAAAAATACATATTTCATTCAGAAAGATCAAAATGATAATAAAAAGATTTTTATTGTTATAAAAGTTTTTTGTTTAAAAATCGAAATATGTAGAGAAAAATGTATTGTTTTCCACAAAAAATATGTTTTTAGCATTGATGAAAATAGACCCTGGAAATCAACTTTATCATCACAGGAATAAATATATTCAAATAGAAAACATTTGAAATTGTAATAATATTGCACGACATGCAAAATGTGGATAGTCACATAAATGCACACAAATGAGACTTCTTTAAAAAAAAAAGTCTTTTTTTTTTGTTATCGACCTTGGTAGTGTGCTTTTTACTATTATAAATCTACTTTTTTAAG